GAATGCGAGCGCGGGCAAACGAAATCCAAACATAGCTGCATTGGGCCACTGGGCAACAAATCTCAGCTGTTGGCGAATTGCCCAGCAGTGCAGTGCAGCAATGCGGAATTTGGTGTGATTCAGATAATTTTAATTTATTTTAGGCACCTTCTATTAATCATTCATATTACAATTGCGAATAGGAGAAATAAGAGGGATATTTTGTATACTAATATTATTACAACATGGCATTTTGGAGATCTTTTAAAACGGAGCAAAACGAAATTTACCATCAATATAATAAAATTGTTTGAGGACATAAATAATTAAAATATAATAGACATTTTCTACACATTATATACAAATTATTATAATTTTTTACCTTTAGCAGAAAACTTATTTAGGGACGCCTATAAAACTCATTAAATTTTATTGCCAGGCGTTTTTTTACATGTTCAACCGACTTGTACACCTCCACATAATGCCCAAATAAACATAAATGATCTGGTTGCTACATTTGAAGACCGCTGGTACAAGTGGACCCATACATTGACTGCCACGATCTCCATATATTAATCCATTGGATTTCTTTCTGTAGGGTTTCGTAAAAAAACAAAGTTTATCCAACACCACTAAATAACATTGATCAGTTGAAAGACAGATTAGTATCGCAATAAATACTATTCCACATAACGTTAAATTAAATGCAGTTAAAAGTATAATTCGAAGAAGTGAATTATATATCAAATTAAATGGACAACAGTTTGAACAATACTTTTAAATTTTACTATTAATTTTACATTTATTGTTTGCATTTAACATTGTATTATACAATTTTTTATTTATTAATACAAGTTATTGTTACATACATATTTTTCCTATACCTTAACTGTCTTAAATTTGCTTCAAATTTACTAAACTTTCTTCCGTTAGGGGAAATTCTATTAGGATGACGTTGTCGATATAATTCTAAAACTGTAACACTATTTTTTCTACATCCAACCTGTCAACTTCTTCAATAAAATAATTCATTTTGTTATAAGTTAAACTTGAAAGATGACAACAATTACAAACAAATCGGTATGTGCGCCTTCTGCTTGATATGATTTAGAAAGTGAGCACCGTAAACTAAGGTCAAAGGCTGAAAGTTTTCTCATTTTGTCCCAAAAATTGACGTCAGTATAAAGAAAATAACATCCTATTTAAAAATATATTGTATACTTTACAGAATGTCCTGATGTCTTTGATAATTGTAGTAACTAATATTTTGATTCTTTAGAATATATGTTATTTAATGATGATTTACGTTATCTTATCAACGAAGTCAGTAGATTTGACTTGATTCTATACTACTTATCACAAAAAATCGCATTAGAGACTTTTCCATTAAATACAAACGCTCATATTTATTTTCAATCGATCATTAACTAGAAAAAACAAACACCTCTCGGTAATTGCAGTAATCCACGAGAATTAGTTACCTACGTGTTAACGAGTTACTTGATGAACTGGTGTTTGTTGGAAAATATCCGTACATAATTAAAAACAAATGTCAATTGTAGATGGAAATAATTCTAAATAATACAGAGCAAGTGCGTCAATAATATTAACGACACTATTAAATCCTTTTACAGCTTTAGTCTGAGACATTTAGTGGAAACTGTTGCTAATTTGTTTAATTTTTTTTCACATATTACTCCATAGAAGTTTATATAATAGAGCACGCTGCATTTTTTGCTAAATAATAATAATGAAGATGATAATGATAGTAATAATAATAATAACACAAAAAGAAAGGTGGTCTGTTCTAAAAATTACACTCATTTATCCTTATGTATTTTGACGCGCTGGATCAGAGTCCGGATCAGAATTGCTCCACCGCCGTCTATTTTTTTAAATTGCGAAAAACCGCCTTTAAATACAGAAAACATAGAAAATTATATTAAATATGGCCAAAAAAACAGATTTCTATCCAGGATTGAAAAAATATCACCCAAAACTGCAAGAAAGTAATTGTGTTCCTGTGGCTGTTTTTGAAGAAACTCAATAAGCAATTTTTGCATTTATTTCCAGTGAAATCCAGGGAACATTACGAAAAAATATTCGCCGAATGTAACGAATGGAGGAAAAAAACGGAGAGCAATGACAATAAATGAAGAAGTCATGCAATCGTATTTTTTAAATTTGAAAAAAATATATAATTTCATCTATGTGGTCCAAGTATTCGATGTTGAAGGCTACTATAAAGATCTACAAAAATATAGATATTGGAAAATATAACAAGCTTACTGCTTATTTGAAGAGTGAATTGAGAGGACACAAAGCAAAAAAAGGTGCAGTATTGGAAAGAGCACATATTGAAGAATTTTGTGACTGGGGCTTCCGTTAAAGAATGATTAATGATTAATGATTAAGGTAAAGAGATATGTATTTTCTTTACCTTTTACATGTTGTTAAATATACAGGGTGTCTTATAATCAGCTGCCAACCCTAAACAGGCCGATTCTATGATCAAAACTAAGTAAAAAAGTTCATATGAACATGGGTCCGGAAATGCTTCCTAAGGGCACAGGGACTCATTGAAGAGGGAGGAATGGAAATCATTTTTTTGCAATATCTCTCAATCGCGTTGTGATAAATGAATGAAATTTGGTATACACAGCTAAATTTTGATGAGCAATTTGATGGACTAATCCATTTATTTCCACAAGGTCCATTGGGGTGGGTACGGGGGGGCCCTTGGTACTTTGCGTGTGTAACTTTTTCATCTTTGACTTTTTAACAAATTGGACAGCAAATTCCGTTTTCCCGAACTGTTTTACGTTAAAAAGGTACTCTTGTTTCAAATCGTTATCTTTAACGGTTTCTGAGAAAATCGCTCTTGAATTAATCCCACTTTGGTCAATTTCATAGTAATTTAAACAAAAAATAATAATAATAATTTAATACGTAATCAGTAATACACATTATTGATGTAGAACAATTATGATATGATGATTTGTTTATGGCTTTTGCGATGGTAATGCTGCGCGGCAGAACGCGAGTACGGCAGAAGGTTTCCAAACAGAAGGCTGACATCAAGGAGGACATTCCTCACTGTATTCCGCAATTTAGCTGCAACCGTCACTTTTCGAAGGGATCATAAGATGGAAACTTAATTTTGATAACAGACAACAAGCTATTTTAAAAACTGTTCAAAAAACCCTCCACCTTCTCTGATACAAAGTCTTGCCCTACGTGTAACACTTCTCGAAGCTATTAAGATGCTAAAACGGTTTTGACGAATTTCATTGGCTGCATCATTGATACGCTGCAGCAATTCCTCACGGGTATCGACTTCGGTGGCGTAAACTTTTTGATTTAGATATCCCCAGAAAAAGAAGTCCAGCGGGGTTAGGTCGGGAGAACGCGGCGGCCAAGCTACCGGTCCGTGCCTCCCTATCCACCGTCCAGCGAAATTTTCGTTTAGGAAATTTAGAACATTGCGACCACTATGTGCCGGGGCTCCATCGTGTTGAAAAAACATGTTACGTCGTAAATTTAGAGGCAGATCATCGAGAATTTGGGGAAGATTTTCTTGAAGTAAGTTTAAATAAAGATTTGAATTGAGACGTTGTGGAATTTCAATAGGTCCAATCAGAGTGTCGTGAATTATTCCCGCCCATAAATTTATGGAAAACCGTTGCTGGAAGTTTGTTCTCCGAACAACATGTGGGTTCTCTTCTTCCCAATAATGAGAATTATGAAAATTTAATTTTCCATTTCGGGTAAAAGTAGCTTCGTCACACCACAAAATTTTGGAAGCTTGCTCGTTGTCCAGCGACAAAATCCAGCGACAAAATTGCATACGTGGCGCAAAATCTTCTGGTATCAAGCCATGTACACGTCGATAGTGATAGGCATGTAGACCTTGTCGCTTTAATATTCTTCCAACCTGAAATGTTAGTAGCACATCTAATCAATTCTGTTAAGGAAATCTTTAAGATATGTAGTACCGTTGGCCGAAGAACATTTATTTGCCTTGAAATGTTCCGTATGCTAGTCGTAGGATCTTGTTCAATAGCGTCAAGGACCACCGCTTCCCTATTAATCCTGGGACGTCCTTGACCCGGTGCCTTTCGAAAAGTTGCGGAATACCGTAGGGAAAGTCCTCCTTGATGGCAGCCTTCGGTTTGGAAACCTTCTCCCGTACTCGCGTTCTGCCGCTGCAGCATTACCATCGCAAAAGCCATAAATAAATATCATATCAACTAAGATATATCAATCAAAAATATACTTATCAGCCTGTTGGAAACACATTGGCGAAGGTACCCTCAATAGTTGCTTCATTCCTGAATATCGTAAATCCAGAAGCATATACTGGCCATTGTATGAGACGCACTTCAACAACTTTATTGGCAAATAAAGGTGCTGATCTTACAACCATCAAATGACATGGATGGAAGAACTCCTCTGTAGCAGAAAGTTATGCTGATGAGTCTATATCTAACAAATTTGATATTGCAAGGAAAATCCAAAGAAAATATAGGTGTTCCTTACAAGAAGAGACATCCGTAACTTGTGCAAATTCTTCACAAACTTCGGCTGATGTTATGCGTTCTGAAAATGATGGTAATTGTGCTACAAGGGTTGTTATTAACGGAAAGGAATTTAAATGTAATAAAATAAAAAATGAAATGTCTGTTACTATAAATGTAAATGTTAATGTTAATAAATAAATACATTAAATTTGATTTATTATAGGTTTTATTCCACTACTGGGTAAAGTATTACTTTAAACGGTTCATATGTGTGGATAAAAGTCCGATTATTAGGTGATTGTGAATAAAATGTTTAAATTTATTTGCGTGATGCGGATTTCGTTATACTTTTCAAAGAATTTAGTCTTACCATTAATATTTTGAATTTTTGACAACAATAAGTAATGTTATTAGTAACAAGACAAACTTTTTTAAAATATTAACACAATTATTTAAAAAAAACATATAATTGTATATTTATATTTATTTATACCAATATATAAATATTTAAATTACTAAACTGCTAGCTTACTACTTACAAATCACAAGATAATACATATCTGTCTAATCAACTAATCGTACACGAAGGTCGTCACTTAATTCCCAATGATCAAATCATGGATTGTACTCCAAATCCTTATCGTATTAACGTTTTATATAAATTTGTTAATGAAACTGCTAAAACCAAGAAAATGTGAAGAATGTCGTGCATACATTTCATTCATGTACGAAATAATTTGTTTATTTTTTACAGAGTCGAAATCATTCCCAAAAATTTTAATTATATAATGCTTTGTTGAATTAATTAAGATAAGGCTTGCATTTTTGTATGTCAGTATTATCAATAATTAGTGTAGATAATACCTTAATAGTCGTACACACAACTGAAGCATTGAGAACAGAACGACTATATATTTAGTATTCTCACTATCAACGCGTCAACCAAAAGTGGAAAAAATACTTGTACGATAACTTTAATCCGTCACAGGTTCGTTTTTACAACTTCGGGAGGCGTCACTTTCGATAGTTCTAGTCTTTTTTCGTCGTTATCGTTCCATTTCTGAACTTTCCCGCTGCCGAAGAGCAGGAAAATCACGTTCGTCACGAAGAAGACGCCGAACGTGATCCAAAAGACGACCCTCCATTCCTCCAACGTGTGCTGAAACATTTTTTTATGTTATAATAATACCCACGTTTTGCAGAATTAGAATATTTTTCTTAGATGTTTCCCACTTAAACTACTAATGTTTGGAGATGCTTATTATGATTAAATATTCTGATTCTGCAATATTTTATACGTTCTATAGGGTGTTTACAAACATGGAAATTTATTTTTGAAGGCGGGTAGAATTGCCATAGCAAAAATTTACCTTAATTGTGACTTAAAGACTTTTACGATTTGTGCTAGTTACGTATTAAAAAATAGTACTTATTGCATCTTATTTAAGTAACAGGAAAAAATACGCATGTGTTGATAATGCATTTTAAAAATATTAAACATTGGGTACCCCAAGGTTCTGTCTTGGGGCCACTTCCGTTTATAATATATATTAATGATATTTTACCATTTCTTTCCTACATATTAGTTGCGTTTGCAGATGATAAATTCGAGTAAATATTTGAATAACCATATATAAACGCTGCAATGTTTTTGAAACGATTGATCTAAAAATACTTTCCCGATCGGGATGCAATTCATGAAAAAAATCCACTATTTCGTCACAACTTCGTCTTCTGTCACCATATCCTGTGATCATTAGTACTTCAATACGCTCGGTTTCACTTGAACGTGCCATTTCTGCGAGAAAATTATTCACAATAAATGTATTTTTGACATGTGTTATCAAGATGATCACTAATAGACAAAAGAACGACGCAGCTTTGTTATGGAGAAACTCAAAGGTAACTTGATGGACTATAAACTTAATGGACTAAAATATTTTTGTATAGTTTATAACGAAATGATTTTCAAAGTTCGATATCTCGAAATATGAGGAATAGGTTTTAAAAAAACCTAAAACGTTTGTGAAGAAATTCAACAAACAAAGAATCAAAAATCAATCTATTGATTTTTTAATAGCCTCATTTTTTAAATTAAGTAAATTTACACTTATTTAAAACTTAATACTGTTTTATACCATAGATGAATTTGCGTCGCCTGCCTGTTAGAACTAAAAAATTTATTGTATTTTGTAATTACTATAATTGACTTTGTGGTATTATTACTAAGTATATTTTCATGGATTTTTAATATTATTACTACTGCTTTAGTGCGTTCTTCATTGTTTACGTTATTTTAACACATGCTTGTTTGAACTTTATCATATTGCATTGCTTTTAATGACGCACACATTTTTTAATACAGGTGTAATATCTATGTACATATCTTAGCCAATATATCTGTTATTTAAAATATTACAGTTTTTCTGGTTGTTATGCCGGTAGCTGAATACTTCGTCGCCGCCATTTACAAACATCATACACTCCTTAGCTAGGAAACTTTGACTTGCCCTTGTTGTTCTCGCGCCACCTTATGCAGTTTAGTATAACAAAAGTCATCCTTAACAAATAATTTCCAAGTTTTGTATACCCTGTATTCCATACACTCACGTTTTCCGTTAGAGCTCCTATCAGGTATGGCACAATGATACCGGTGAGTCCCCCAATACCGTTGACTATAGCCATGATAGTTCCCGCGTAATTGGGCGATAAATCCAAAGCGTTCACCTTCATACCACAGTAGAAGGTTCCCATGAAGCCCATGGCGATGGTGAACATACTCACGGCCATTGTCCTGTCGCATCCTGAGTAGGATGCCGCTAGTATAAAGATGGCAGGCCCCATTGAAGCTAAAAACAGAAGAAATTGTTCTTATCACGATCATTTGATTCCTTTTTTATTGTACAGAGAAAATCGTAAATTAATACTTGTCATTGTTTACTGATATTCTTACAATACTGCTTATAGGGATCATTTGGCTTATTTTTTGGCATAGTCCTCGAGCTTTATAACCCACTTACAATTAGCCATCTGTTCATAAGTTTACCAAAGTTCTTTACAAAGAAGCTTTACAACTTTTAACCAACATTGCGTAGCTTCAATTGTCTCATAATCGTTTGTAAACTTATGGTCCTGCAAATCTTATTTGAAAGGTTCAAACAAATGGAGTTTAATGTACCAAATCTGGACGACGTGATGGATATTGCAACACCTTAAATTTGTAGTGCCATTGTTATGAGGTAGCAGTAATCTTCTTTAGTTCGTTTAGTGAGCTTATTCACTAGCATGTTCTTGCTATACCAAAATAAGGCCACTGATTAGCTTAACTTTCCTAACGTAACTCTAAATCATCGGTGCAAGTTTGTTACAAACCACACCAAAAAAACTTTTTTCTAAATTCGTAAACTTATGAACGTGTAAACTGGATATGTAAAAAATCGGAGACTGTCGGGAAATAGAATACAAATAATTCCTCTAAGCACTCTCATAACAATGCTGTCAAACAATTTCTGTCATTTAACGACTTTTACTTGTACAATGAAACATCTTCCTTACCAATCGTAGTGAACGTTTTCCTAGCCTTGGTCAAACTTAGGCTTTTCCTGGATATCAACCAGTCGCACAGCCACCCTGAGCTCATTGATATGATCCACATGAAAATGTATGGAACTGAAGACCATACCCCGTTCTCTTTGACGTTGAAGTGTAGCACATCTTTCATGTACTTGGGAAGATCGGTCACCATCGTGAAGAAGCCCCAATCGTGGCCTATTTGGGCCACCACTAACGCCCATATGGGCCAGGAGGTCAAGATGGATTTCCAGGGGATGACTTTGTCTTCGTGTGGTACGTTCGCTGAAAATATTTGTCAATGTGTAGTTTTAGAGTTAATGAAACTATTTTCTGAGTTACCTATTTGTTCCCCTAAGAAAATCTTTTCCTTTTCGCTGATGAAGGGATGAGATTCTGGACTAGCATAGCACAGCATCATGAAAAGGATGACCCACACAATACCCATAATTCCGAAAACGTAGAAAACTATAGCCCAGTCGTGGGTGGCTGCTATGAGGGCGCCGCTCACGGAATTTCCCACCACAGTACCTGGAAGAACATGTTTTAAGGTTTACAAAGTGTTTTCAGTGATAGTTTCAGGAGGTTGTTTCTTAGACAATTTTAAATTTGAAACCTTGAATGAAGCAAGGTCCAACATGTATGGTTTTTGATATATTGAGATGGCTTTAAAGATGTTTGACTTATATTGTTCAAATTAAGTTCCTAATGTCCTTATTGAATCAAATATACAGGGTCGGAAAGTACCGATGGTCCATCTGCCGTTACGTGAGAGCGATAAAGTAAGTCATAGAAATCCGTGCGATAGAGAAAGATGGCTATAATGAAGGCGTCTAATAGTCACCGCCCATTTCGCCCTTCCACAAATAAGAAGTGGATCTTACTTGTGGAAGGGCGAAACGGGCGGTGACTATGAGACGCCTTCATTATAGCCATCCTTCTCTATCGCATGGATTTCTATGTCTTACTTTATCGCTCTCACGTAACGGCAGATGGACCATCGGTACTTTCCGAACCTGTATATTCTCCTTTACTGTTTATGGTTGATTTCTAGCAATCCGTCAATTTTTCTATTTCATTCCTGAAGAAATCTGATGGTTTGAAGGTGGAGAATTTTCCAAACCAATTCTGAAGTGAGACGTCGTCATTAAAGGAGATCCCAATACATAAAATATATTCAAAGATAATTGAATAAATGTGATAGTTTTTATAATTTAACATCCTGTTTCTCAAATGACACTATATGTTCTTAGTGCAATAACATCATTTGATCTGAGGTAATTCAATCTCCTGAAGATATTGAGAATGATTCAGAAACCACTTTAGATGGTGAAATTTTTGCCTGTTATAAAAACGTAGTTTCTTATTATACATATTGTAAATATTTGGGTTTATTTGACTTGGAAATTGAGAATCTAATGACATCTTCAGATAAAACTAAAGATAATTCGCAAACTCTTAGAAAAATTAAGTCGGTAGTAAGATAAGTTGTATGTGATTTAATCCCATAATGAATGACAATAAAAATTGTAATCAAAGATTACTATAACAGATAAAGAGATTTAAGCGAGGATTGTTTTATTACCGTGTTTGCGCCCACTGGAAAATATGAGATTATTTGATAAAGCGGGGATTTGTTTCGTTTATAAAGTTTGCAAATATTTTCTTTATTATCATCCCGATTGAATCTAAGGTCATCTGATGAAGAATTCGGTTCACTTATGCGACTTTCGCTCTAGTCTAATTGTTTCGTCCAATAATAATGAAGATCAAATCTTGAGGCCAAAATGTTTTAATTGGGCCTAATTTATCCCACTGCTGATTCATGAAAATATTTTTGTAACACAAAAAAAGTTGTCCGTCCAACGGATGAGACGTATGCCATCATTTGCATTCGATTTATTTTTAATTAACAATAATTAATAAGATGGCGTCATCACATGTATTAATTTAACTCGTCATTTTTCCTGCTATCTAACTAGTGATATTATTAAGCAAATATAAAATGCATTTATCATTATGATTAGCTGTAAGCCCATTTACTGCTTTATTATTTATTTTTGTCCACAAAGGGAAAAAGAAACAATTGAATGTGATTCAAGGTAATCTCATATCAAAGGAATATATATTAAATGACTGCGCAGAAGAAAGATTTTGGTCGTAAAACAATAAACCGATACTGTGGCAGGTTGTAAACTATGTTTGTTTAAAATCAATAAACATGCCTCAGATTTTAGTGATTCCAAAAACGCAAAGGTTATTTATTATGCTTGGTAATCCGCTGAATATTTTTTATTTAAGATTTTGTTCATAAAGCTGAACATAAATAGTTTTACACATTTTTAGTTCAGAGAAAATATTAAGAGCAGTACGAAACAAGCACGTTTAAATTTTGAAGTTTTAGCGTGCTTAGATATATTTTTTTAAGTTGTCTATTTTGGGTATATTCAAATTTTGTTTGCGGTAGTCCCAAATTGTCTTCCGATATTTTCACGACAGACAGTAGTTCAAGAAATAAAAGAATCTTTTTGTATAATTTTTTTTTCCAAAAATGAATATTAGGGAAAATTATACCTCTTTTATCATGATGAATCGAAAAATTTTGCAAAATAATTTAAACAAATTCTTGTGCCAAAAGGGTGATATTACGAAACCACAAATCTTTCTTAAATAAAAAAATATCGTTAGACAATTTTAAACCATTTGTATATTATAAATATTGTCAGTAGGTAATAAATTGTTTTGTATTTAGAGATATAATAATAAAATATACCTATTTGACTCCCTGCATATACTAGTGTCCCAATTTTTGATCTCTCACTTAGGGGTACCCAATTCGCCAGTAGCGTCGTTAGAGCTGGAAAAGTGGTACCCTAAAAATGAAAATAAATTAATAAATAGTCCAGTTGGTAGAGCTTCGGCTTGTGTCAAACCTTGATAACCCGGAAATAACTACACAGGTCTACTTTAAATGATGAGTACAATAACGGGCTAATTTGCTGACAAAGTATTTTATCAGGAAAAAAAGTTATTAACAACTTAATTCTTTTCATTTTCGAGCGCGAGCTCCGCTCTTCGGCGCTTGTATACTATTAGAAATATGCAACAGTAAATTTAAACAATTGTTTACTTAAAGTTAAAGGTTTACCCCACACGTACGATTTTGTTTTTTGTTGATATGTTGAATAATGTACGAGTATGGCTTAAGGGAGCAAAATGTTAAATAGCTTAGGATCTAACGATGAAATTCTATATTTTTTAAATTGTAGGTAATTGTGCTGGCTAATCTAGCGTAATGGAATATTTTATAAATATACATAAATATACGTCCAAAAATAAAAAAAAACTGTGACGTTTAAAACTAGGGTGACGTATAAAACCTTACCAAAACTGCAAAAATTAATATACTTGAATTTTGCAAATTGCTTTTGGTTTCTGCATATTTACACTATGTGTGTACCAAATTTCAAGTGTCAGCAAAGCTTCGAACAAATTTGGCAAAGTTTCGAGTTTCAGATGCCAATGAATGTATAACACCTTATAGAACAAAAAGTTTTGCTCTCCTGATTCTCGGCTTTAGCGTCATTATTGTATATATATTGAACTATAGTTTTCGAAAGTTGTATCACTTTTTGTTAATAATTGACATTTTTACAGCAACTTAAAAAAAATTGGCGTTTTATACCGTTTTTTCAATCTCACGGCTTTGTTATTGCAAATTTCGTAATCGAACCACCGCCATTTTGTAGCTATTTTTATTACGAACAAAATCATGTCCTAAGCATTTTTCGTACAAAGTCATCCCGCTGAGTTATTTAAAGAAAACTACTAAAACAATTTTTTTCCGCGATTAATAATTAATAATTTTTTTTCCTGATAAGATACTTTGTCGGCAAATTAGCCTGTTATTGTACTCCTCATTTAAAGTATTCCTGTGTAGTTATTTCCGAGTTATCAAGAAAATGTCACCAACAGTAACTTTTCGGCCTCTGACGACTGGAGTAAAAGAATAATAAAGGCCCGGTACTGATAAAGAAATTATTGGTAGGTCAGGATATGTTCTATTATGTCAAAAGTACTGTGTTTACGGTCTTATTAGTAACGATAAAATTGCTTTTGAAATAAGCAACCAGTCTTACAAGTATGCTATATATTAGATACTATTTTAAAATCAAGGGTATAGTCTTTCCGAAATCAGTTGAACATAAGTTTTCTGTTAAAGATAAAAAATTATAATAATTTGTATATAATGTGTAGAAAATTTCTATTATGTTCATTTGACCAACAACATATTTTAATTATTTATGTCCGCAAACAATTATATTAAGTACATTAATGGTAAATTTCGTTTTGTTCCTTTTCAAAACGTCTCCAAAATGCCATGTTGTAATAATATTATTTCTCCCTTTCGCAATTGTAATGATTAAAATTATCTAAATCACACCAAATTCCGCATTGCTGCACTGCACTGCCAAGCGACTTGTCGACGACTGAAATTTATGACGCAGTTGACCAAAGTAAATGTGTGGGAACCCGTTTGCCCGCACGCGCATTCTCCAACTGGGCGTATACATTTCTACCACCTGCAAGTTTTGTTCCACCAGACCTCTGTATAGGTATGGCTAAATAAATATGGGACCAAGTTTTTCAAATATTTAAATGTCGAGTTGCTGCGTAGCGACCGAGCCTGGTACATACCTTGAAGTTACTGGTTCTTCAATTGACTTCGGAAAAACTATAATAGATGTTTGATTAATTGGTACATGCAAATCGTACGGGGTGAGAGACCCAGTGAAACTAGTACTGATTGATGTAGCCTTCCACAACAACTCTAGAGATGCCATAATCAATTTTCACAACAACCATATACGAACATATGAAAATAGACATGCGGTCTCAGAAAGCCATTGTTACCGCCAGTTTTCCCTTATGGGTGGATGGGAATTGTCCGAGATGTTCTAATTGACTCATTCTTTTTTTGGGTCAGGTTGAACCGTGAAAATTATCTAAGATTTCTTGAAGAGGATTTGCCAATACTGCTTGAAGAAGCCCCTATTTTATTAAGACAACAAATTTTGTTTATGCACGTCGTTGTTCCAACTCATTTCAGTTCGGTTACTCGGCAGTATTTATTTGAGTGTTGCATATCCAAACCATTGAATAGATAGAGCTTGAGTATACATTTGGTCTCCACGGTCCCTATATTTAAATCCTCTCGATTAACTTTCCTGGACACATCATAAAACAATTGAGTTATTCTCTAATTTACATTATCATGTACTGTGGGACAATTCGACAGATTTCTGGCATTTTTCAATGTGTTCATCAATCGCAGAAATGCTTGTAATTAATTTAAAACTCTCTATTTCCAACAGATTTTGCAAATGTATTTATTATTTTTTGTATAAATTATAATTAAAGAGTCTAATTTTATTTTTCTACTAAAAAGAGAAATATTTCAGTGAAAAAAAACCAAAAGACAAAAATGTCCATAGGTGAGCCATATTTTTAAATGTCTTTTTTTTAGTTGCAAATTTTCAATTCCGGGAAAAGATACAATGAAAAACCATCCCAAATTGCATTCTTCAATGTTTCTCCAACTGTGATAAATAAAATAAAAACTGTTTTTTTTTATTTTAAAAGAATATGATTTACTTTGCTCTGTTGGAAAAATGTTTTTAATACACAAACCCGCCCATGTGTATCACTAGTGTAACTAATGGTCGAACTAGAACACTGTGTGGTATCTTCATAGTCCAGCGAATAATTTCACAATCTATCCTGTCCTTTGTTGGTGGTGTTGAAACAATAGATGCGCCAATAATCGTTGCACAAATAATAAATATTGAACGGTGCTTCAATCAGCACCGTAGCCAAGGTCTTGTGATGGCTGTTGACTACCTATCACTGCTATTAATTGGCATCAAACCGCATTTTTTGCAGGCGAGCCTCCGATCGTGAGCAAATAGCTAATTTGATTAAGTAAATTAATGAGATTTTATCAACCGGCTATAAAAAATAAGCTAATGTTTCGGTATACTTCTCAATGGCGTAGGCACAAGGAAGTCTAAGGGGTCAATGTTATTGTCATTGGCATAAAGATGAAAGCACGTGGTGGCTTTATTTCGGCCATTTCTTTTTTTTTGGAGTCTGATTGGTCAAATAAAGAATGATTTTTTTCTAGTTTTCTCTTTTCAATATTTTTTGAAAAAATCAAGATGGCGGACTGGCAGGGCTGGAAAACTACGAAAAAATCACTGGTTATCCTGGTTAAAAGGGGGCAGAGGTAATAAAAAATTGGGAACACAGCTTATCCTTACATAATTTGACTTGGTAAATACGGATTTAACATGTTTTTCTAACTTCAAAAATGAGATCCCCTACTATTCCATAAAACCGTACGGGAGTGGGTTACCGATTTGGCTGACGATTTTTTCTCCGATAGTACGTCAGAAAGAAGGTGATCTTGAGAATTTGAACTTGAGACAATCAAATTCGGCCACCGTGGGATTTTTTTGTCATTTTCAGAATTTTATATCTCAGGCTCTTTATACAAAAGTGTAGGTACACTTTTCTACAAAAGAATTACACAGTAAAAAAGTGGACTATTTAATAAACTACAAAATACGGACAAATAATGGCCAGCTTAGAACATACTGTTTGGTTCTGCTGTAAAAAAGAAGATATAAAAATGTTGAACATTTATGTAACTTAAGTAAAATAACAGTACAGTAATAGTAATTGTTATTTGTGGTCACAGAATATTGCAGAATTAGTTTGTGTACTATTTCTGTGCCTGGGTACAGCTGGGAAAAGTCGACATGTTTCGTCACAGTCTTGAAATCGCAGAAAAAAGAGTTACTTCATAGAAGCTGTAGTGAACTTTTATCTTCAACTACGCTACATGCAGGATGTTCTGCTTAAGGAATAACCACGTCAGTATTTTCTTTTTTTTACGAATTTTTATTAACTTCTTTTTGCTACCAGACAGATCTGGTGAAGAACAATTATAACAATTTTTGTAGTGCCTACAATGTATACAATCTGTTTGGTACAATTACAGACAATATAGCTTATCGCTTCACGTGGTCGGACAGATTTTTTAAAATGATTTTTTCTATTCAACGCGTGCGTTTCCGAGTTTCCTTTTTTGTTCGTTGGTCTCGTCATCAAATATTAAAAAAATTATATTACAAGCTGTTTAAAATATCAATACGAATTTTGTTTATTCGAAAACATATTTTCTGCAGTATTTCAATACCAAAAAATGAAAATAGTAGTATTAATAAAATTATGATTAAATAACATAACAGTGATACCTCTGCAGAATATCATCTAATGCAAACTACCATCTAAAACTACATAGGTATTCGTTGATTCTTTAAAACATTTCTATTAATACCTATAAACACAGTAACGCAAAAAACAGGCATTGCTAAAACAGTGTACAAAATAAATCCGTAAGTACGCGTGACAACATTGTACTGATATAGTATCTCTACATCGAGAAGTTATGAGTTGCCGAGATTGCCATAAAAGAATAATAACTTTTATTGCACGAACTCTTGTATTCACTGGAAACTATGTAAAAAAAGTGTCGCTATTGACACAGTCATAGATAAAAACAATTTTAGGAGCTTTCACTTTTGACACAATAGAAAAATACCCTTATATCAAAATTGTATATTTACCTCTCCAAGTCCTTCGATAATCCTCACCACCACCACCCACACCCAGTTCCCGTCAGTGGCGTAAATAACAAAAGGGGTTATAAAGGTGAAAATAGCTGTGCACAGGATTCCCAGTCCTAGAGAATGCTTCCCGCCGAATTTCTCGGCTATGATACCACCTGGGATGTGGGTCACCACGTAGCCCCAGTAAAATGAACTCAGAATTAGACCTTGTTGCTTGCTGGTCCAAGGGTAGAGTTGGGAAGAGTTCTGGAAGAGAAACGAAATTAATATTGTTGAGGAAGTTGAGGTGGGAGTGATTGTGGAAAGTACAAGTAGTTGTTGTAGTTTATTAGTTTATTAGTTGTATTTAATTGCTTGTTTTATATGTTTGTCTGTATTTACATTTACGCTTGACAATTTCTCATATTTACAGTAGGTAAATCTATAGAAAATAAAGATTATTATTACAACTAGTTTTTGTCAGTCACAACTCTGTGACTCGGCAAATTTATTCGAAACGTCCGTTTTTTTCAATGTATATAGTTTTCTAAGCTAAGTCATAACTCTGGGGGTTGTTTTTTTTATAATTTTAAATCCAAAACAATGGATGGATCTTCCAGATGAAGTTTGAAAAAGGAACATGTCTTTTCAAATATTGCTGAAGATTTTTGACAAAGATTATTGGAACTTAAGTTCGTAATATATAAATTCACAATACTGATACACAAATCCGTCTACCATGGGCGTAGCTAGGGGGAGCAGGGTGTGCACGGCTCACCCCAGAAAAAATCTAATATTATCGTCTTATCGGTAAGCCGATGATTGCGTGATCTTTTTTTTAGAAGCAAATCAAAACATTTTTTTAGGAGATACTGGGAAGTCACTAATGACCCTTACATTTCAAAGCCAATGAATGTTCTACAAATTAGTCACATAACCAATCATACAGATTTAAAATTAATCGTTTATAATAATTCGTAAAAAAGGTAACTTGGTAATGTAATTGTTACTCTGATCTTAAATATTTCTATCATTTTCATCAACATCATTTTTTTTTCTAAAAAAAAACACTATCTCAAAAACGAAGCATCTCCTAAATAATTTTAATACTATTGGTTAAACCCAAGGGAAGGGGAGACAAAAAGGCTTATTTGACTCACACATACTCGAGACTAAGACCAATTTTAATAGGTACTATATTTTTTTAGGTTTTATGAGGAACCTAAAGTTTATCGACAGAATCCAGAAGCACCCTACCGTAAAATCAATTTTGCCATGAAATTATAAGAGTTAGGAAAAAAGTGAATGTACACTTTTTGTCAATAACATACTGTTCTATCTAAAAACAGCATAATTTTTTATTTTCAGTAGTGCCGTATTAATTTTTTAATAATTTAATGAGTCTGAGTCCCCATAACTCCGCCACTGGTTGTTTGCGGGACTTCTACTTCTATGGAAAAATGGTATCTTATAAGAAGATGTGTCATGCTAAATTTGGCTTAAATAGCCTTCTTCATTTAGAAGTTATTTAAAAAATTCGAATATTTTTAAAAATCTTAACGCCCTATATTTCGAAAATGAAGCGTCTCTGGAAAAAAATTTATACTTCATTTCTTTCTTATTTTTTTATGAGTGTTAGGGATGCTGTCTATGGGAGTGCGGCCCTGTTTGCCGCATCCATAAATATATAGACTGTTTATGTTAATGTCAAGTAGTGTAGACACTAGAAAGAGTTAGTTACGAATAAGGGATTTTTGAATGGGGACTCGCTTGTTGACTTGCTTGACGACTGGTCGAGTATTGTATGTTCAATCTGAATACATCCTATTTTTGAAGTAATTGTTTCGACTTTTAATCCTTAATTATCCTAACAAAGGCAGCGGTGGGATATACTCCAAGGCGCTTCCTGATAGTGTTGTGTACTTTGTGCTGGTTTTGTGACCTAATTTGGTGAGCTAATTAGGCGTGACCCCAGTTTTTGGTTTTGTGTGTTTGTGTGACAATGGGTCGTTCTTCAAAACGTAAACAGCAGTCTCGACGTCACTCAACACCTTCCCGATCCTCCAGCTCGTCGCCTAGTTTGACGCCGCCTCCACGTGACACGAACAAAAGTACCCGAGGGTTGGTCAAAAGGTTAAAAAGGGAATTACAAGAATTACGACAAACTGTAAGTACACAAAGTGTTGTTAATGTCGATGAATCTGTAATTCCGTTGTTTGAACCGGGTAAAGACAATGTGCAGAGTGTGACGAGTTGGGTTAACAAAATTGATGAACTAAAAATGTATTATAAATGGACAGACACAACAACTGTTAAGTTAGCTACAAGTAGACTGCGTGGTAACGCGCGCGGGTGGTACGATTCGCTAACCGATTCATGTCTGGATTGGCAGGAAATGAAAAATTTGTTAATTCAAGACACCAATCAGGTTTGGTAAATTACTTGTTGAAGCTGCTTGTTACAGTCCTTTTGCTGGGCAAAATTTGGGTGACTATTGTTATGAGAAAGCCGCCAAACTTAATAAACCACAGCTTGAAATTCCTGAAGGATATGTCGTCGATAGCATAATTGAAGGAATTCAAGACGATAAAGTTTCTATACCTGTAAGGGCTGCTACTTTTCAAACAGTTGGTAGTTTAGCCAATTATTTAAGCACTGTATCTTATGTACCGTCTTTACTTCCTACCACCAGCAGAAGGGATACAGTAAAGCCAAGTACTAGCAAAGCTATCAGTATGCAATATTAAAATAGGGCAATGAAAAAAGAAAAATTAGGCAAACATATTCGTTGTTTTAATTGTGGTGAAAATCACCTAGTACGGGACTGCGTTAAACAACGGCTCGAATATACGATGTGTAAGAGGTTAGGACACTCGCAGCTCAGTGTCAGAAAAAGAAAAATAAACAAGTTAACGAAATTGCGTTGAAAGAGTATGTCGAAAATATGTTTAATAAGACAGTCCTCATACATGGCCATAAAGTATACTGTTTATTAGACAGCGGCAGTGAATGTTCTATTATCAAACTATCGGTCGCCCGCCGCATACACTTAGATATACAAACCTAAAACGTTATCGTGTTAAAATGTTTTATGGGTTATAAGGTTTCAAGTAATTTAGAAGCTCGGATAGAAGAGGTTATTGTTAATGTTATATTAATTGTATTAGATGATCGTTGTCTCAAACATGATTTAATCGTCGGAAGAGACTTTTTAACTAATGAAAATGTAATCATGGTTAAAGGTAAAAAATAAACTCTCATTGGGAAGCCTTCCATCTTTAAACGTTAATAACTTAGACATTGTAGAACTGGGTGAAAATAAAATTAATCCGGATACAATTAATTTTGGTCACCGTTTGTTAAAAGATCAACAACTGATGGTTGTTAAGTTGCTCCGCGACTATAGACAATCAATGACAATGTATCTCATTTCATTTTAATGATTTAGATAATTCGTTTGAAGAAGGGTTGTCCCATCTAAATTTAGTACTGACTAATTTCAGAGAACATAAATTGACATTAAAATTAAGTAAATGTACAATTTTTAAAAACGACTCGAATATTTGGAGCGTGAAATCAGTAAAGATGGGGTGAGGTCAGGCTTAAGTAAAATAGAAGCCGTCCGAAAAATGAGACATCCTCGAAATGTTAAAAAATCCGACATTTTCTTGGTCTGTCGGGGTATTTCACAAAATTTGTCAGAGATTACGTGCGACTAGTTGAGTCTTTAACTCGCCTGACGAGGAAAAGTATTCCTTGGGCTTGGGCCGCAGAACAAGGAGAAGCAATCTTAAAAGTTAAATCGTTACTTACATCTAGGCCTATATTAAGTATTTTTGACCCGTCCCTAGAAACAGAATTGCATACTGATGCTAGCTCTCTTGGAGTTGGATCTATATTGATCCAGGTTAATAACTCAGGTCAACGGACCGTAGTAGCATATTACAGTAAGCAAACGACACTGGAACAAAGAAAGTATCACTCCTATGAATTGGAGACGATGTCTGTAGTGCTATCTTTACGTCACTTCCGAGTTTATTTGCTGGGTATAGTGTTTAAAGTGCTCACTGATTGTAATGCATTGAAGACGACGTTCAGCAAAAAGGATCTTATTCCCCGTGTAGGCCGTTGGTGGTTAGAAGTTCAAGACTTTAATTTCTCTATAGAGTATCGACCTGGGAGTCAAATGAAGCATGCTGATGCGCTAAGTCGTGACTTGATCAGGGACACGCCAGAGATTCTACAGGTTGATATTACCGAAGCTGACTGGCTTCTAGCAGTGCAACTACAAGACGATCAAATCACCACAGTGCGTAATATTTTGACTGAAAATGTGAAAAACAACGAAACCAAACAGTATTTTAAAAATTACGAACAAAAAAAGGGAATAGTTTTCCGCAAGTTAGAAGATGGTCAATCAGCTTGGTTGGTGCCACGTAATGTACGATGGCAAATATGCCGACTGTGTCATGCCGAAATACGAACAACCATTAATAGTCGGATCAGTGAGGAGCAAAAGAAACAAAAAGAGCAGTTTCATAAGCTCCGTACATCTGCTACCCTGCTACCAAGTATAAAGTAGGAGACCTGGTACTGGTGATTGATGCACGATCTTTCACGACTGGTGATTGATCTATGACCTTCACGACTGGTGCATGACTTATCTTTCACGACTGGTGATTGATGCACGATCTTTCACGACTGGTGATTGATTTATGATTTTCACGACTGGTGATTGATTCACTATTCTTCATGACTGGTGATTGATTTATGACCTTCACGACTGGTGAATGACTTATATTTCGCGAGTGGTAATATGTTAACGATCTTTCACGACTGGTAATTGATTTATGAACTTCATGAGTGGTGAATGACTTTTCTTTCATGACTGATTATTGAATTATGACCTTCACGACTAGTGAATGACTTATCTTTCACGACTGGTGAATGACTTATCTTTTTTCGACTGGTGAATGACTTACCTTTCGCGACTGGCGATTGATTTATGATCTTCATGACTGGTGAATGACTTCTCTTTCACGACTGGTGATTGATTCACGATCTTTCACGACTGGTGAATGACTTATCTTTCATGACTGATTATTGAATTATGACTTTCAAGACTAGTGAATGACATATCTTTCACGACTGGTGAATGACTTACTTTCACGACTGGTGAAATAACAAAATTTCACGACTGATGAACTAATGTCACTTTTAAATGAATGGCTGTACATTTGTTGAATACCAGAAGTCGGAGTTCTTGA